AAATCTTGTTAATGTACCAATGTTTGTACCAGCCTTTTGAGGCAAAATACGGGGTGCCACTTATACACGAATGCGGTTTACACACGAGTAAATACGGTGGCATAGCGCTCATCAGACTGTTCACTTGTCAGTCGCTACAGCAGCGCCTCCTGTGGAGCGGGGAAGCAGCGGCAGGCGGCGGCGACGGCGGAGGTGAATCTGACGCTTCGCAACGCGATGATGCAGCTGCGCAAGATCTGCAACCACCCGTACCTCATCGAGTACCCGCTAGATGTCGCCACCGGCCAGTACCGCATCGATGAGGACGTCGTGAGGAGCTGCGGCAAGATGATGCTGCTAGACAAGATGCTGCCGCGGCTGAGAGCTGCTGGCCACAAGGTGTCGCCACGCGTCACGCGGGGGGGGGGGGGAGGCGCGCGGGGCGCTAGACAAGATGCTGCCGAGGCTGAGAGCTGCTGGCCACAAGGTGTCGCCACGCGTCACGCGCGGGGGAGGGGGGGTTACACACATATATGCTATATAAACCTTGTCTTCTTTGTAAGTATCGTTTACGCACGCACGCACGCACGCACGCACGCTCACACACGTATAGTTTATGCAGCTTGTTTGTGCGTAGGTGCTGATTTTCTCCCAGATGACACGCATGCTGGACATTCTGCAAGACTACTGCTACCTGCGAAAGCTGTGCTTCTCACGCCTTGACGGATCCATGGCCCATCAGCTGCGGGCCGAGCAGGTAGCCTCACATTCACCTCAGGGGAAAAAATACTTTTTTTTCACGGGAGCTCTTTTTCAAAAGTCGGTGGGAAAAATAGTTCTCGTCAAAAATGTTACGGGAGCTATTTTGAGCCTCACGGGAGCAATTTCTGAGGTTTTAAGAGCTCATCGCTCATCGCTCCCGTGTATTTTTTACCCAGGTTCACCTGCGTATCCAGGGGTAGAAATTAGTTTGATAATTTACAGGCCGGCCGGGCCTGTAGGTGAGGGATTTTACACGCCCGCCAGGCAAATTACAGGCCTGCATCAGCGGATAGCCAATGAAAATTCAGCCTACATCGGGCCCGCATTGCAAATAGAAAACGGGGCAAATCTTCGTGCTATCTGAGTATTTATTTACCGAAGATATGATAGGAAAAGCCGGGCTGATTTCGAGGTAAATGTACTTACAGCAGTCGGTAGTTTCACAATTGTCACCATTGGTTACTCGACGATCGATGAGTTATAGTTGGTCAATTACGAAAAACTAGTTGTTGCCTCAAAATCTATTGAAGGAAATCTTAAAATTCCTGTGATTTTAATGAACGTTTAACATGTTGATGCCAGCAGTTGGCAGTTACTCTCACGTTAGATTTTGACAATTCGACAAACTTGTCTATAAAAAAATTGTCTGATGTTTTTGCCATTCAAATTGAGTATATTTCAGAATTTTTTCATAAATATTTGCAAATACTTGCTTTCATGAGACTAACCTATCATATAAAACGAATATGTCCTCTCATTTCAAACTAACGAAACATATATGATGTATTGAAGTGCCCGTCGTGAATTCCTGTCCATCCCTCCACACTTTGTCTTTGTTCCTGTTGACTACAGATACAGCAGTTCCAGGAGGATAGTGCCGTGAGTGTGTTCCTGCTGAGTACGCGCGCAGGCGGGCTCGGCATCAACCTTGTCGCTGCCGACACAGTCATCATCTATGACAGTGACTGGGTGAGTACATGCAGTCTATGTCAGGTTCTGACACATCCTGAACAGTCCCAGAATTCATAAAATGACAGGTCGGAATAGTACTGGAACATATAGACTGTTATCGTGTCTATACACCGTTATCGTGTCTACTATTCCTGGAAAGGTTTGTGCAAGTCTGCATGGCTCTGTTGAGTTTAAATTTTACAAATGATAAAACAAGTTTAACATATGATATTACAGATTATCATAGTACTCATTCAAGTAATATATTGCAGTCTGTAGTGAGTGTAGTCCATTTTACTGTCTGAGATGCAATGAACATTGTTCTTTGTAGCTCTACACTGCTGAATGCATGCTCGTTTTGCCCTCACCCGACCGACTTGCCAAAAAGGGGCCGACTCAAAAATTGTTATTGATCTTTCCCATTTTTTTTTACAAATTGTATCACTGTACATTATATAAATCTGTAGGCAATACATTATATGTACCAAGCAAAACAAACATTCAACATGAAAGGTATTTTCACACAAGCACGCCCGAGCATGTAGACACCATGCTGAATTTGTGAAAAGACCCCCCCCCCCATAAAAAAAAGCCTACCAACCTACCCAAACATTTCATCCTGGGTCGGGTGAGGGCAAACAAAGATTTTTTTAATTGTGGCCTCGTTTTGTCTTACTTGTCTCTGGCCGTCTCTACAGAATCTTGATCTACAGAATCTTGTTTCGAAAGAATCTTGTCTCTAAAGAATCTTGTCTCTACAGAATCTTGTCTCTAAAGAATCTTGTCTCTGCAGAATTTTGTCTCTACAGAATCTTGTCTCTACAGAATTTTGTCTCTACAGAATCTTGTCTCTACAGAATCTTGTCTCTAAAGAATCTTGTCTCTACAGAATCTTGTCTCTACAGAATCTTGTCTCTAAAGAATCTTGTCTCTACAGAATCTTGTCTCTACAGAATCTTGTCTCTACAGAATCTTGTCTCTACAGAATCTTGTCTCTACAGAATCCGCAGTCGGACCTGCAGGCTCAGGACCGCTGTCATCGCATCGGTCAGACGAAGCCCGTCGTCATCTTCCGCTTCGTCACGGCCGACACGATCGATGAGAAGATAGTCGAGCGGGCGGCAGCGAAACGCAAGCTAGAGAAGATCATCATGCATAAAGGTAACACTTAATGCATAAAGGTAACACGCAACGCATAAAGGTAACACGTAACGCATAAAGGTAACACGTAATGCATAAAGGTAACACGTAACGCATAAAGGTAACACGTAATGCATAAAGGTAACACGTAACGCATAAAGTCTCCCTGTGGCTTCCCCGCTTCTTGCTGCTACATATGTACTCATGAGTAAAAGCTGGATAGTGTCTGTATTGTCAAGAAAACAGTTATGTGCAGGGATGTAATGCCTGGAGTGGAAGTCTGCCATATATTCTGCCTGCGGTTATGTCATTCAAACACAAAATTGCACAACCGCTTAAACATTTTGTGTTCATTTTGAAATCCAATTCTTTGATATGATAAAGGTTCTACAGTGACCTCATACCAGTATGGGTTTTGTACTGATTTTGCAGGCAAGTTCAAAGGTGCTGGGAACAAGAATTTTAAAGACAGCATGGCAGAACTGGACCCAAGAGACTTATTGGCCATACTCAAATCTACTGACCACACAAAGTCTATAAAGAACGATAGTTTAGGTGTGCATTGCATAATCTGGTGAAGTCAAGTTGGCGTCATAGGATATGAGTTAGTAAATTGCAAGACATGTGGCCAGAAACAGGCGTGCAATTCTGCGTTTGTCGACGTAGAGCAATTTCAATAGATTCACGAAAATTCCTCAAGGAAACACTCGACAAAAGTAGTCTGCATGCAATAAAAGCATGCAAGGTCAATGATATTACAATAGAATGCTTAAATGCGGAATTCGCAATACATTGTGACACAAAACTACTATTAAAAAATATATATACATGAATGGTTTCCATGCTTTTACACAGATGGGCAGCTGGTCAATGGGAAGTCAATTTTCTCGGAAAAAATAGATTACATATTCTCCATGGTGAAAATTTCTTCTAGGTATTGAACATGGGCACCTGCAGCTAACCAGACAACGCACGTATTTTACAGACATCTCCGATAACGACTTGGCCTTGCTGCTCGACCGGTCTGACTTACTGATGTACCAGGATGCGCGGGTGCAGTCGCTGGATGCTGCGACGAGTGGAGACACAGTGAAGGCAGACACAAAGACATCGACACTGTTCAAGGTGACGTCTAGCAGTCTACTCTATCGGGGATTTTGAAATCTAGCCATGTTTATTCATGATAGAAAAAAGATCAGGATTGTAAATAGTTGAGCCCGTCCTAAAATGCTCAAATCACATCAGAAATCTGCCGAAAAGAACAATGAGAGACACTGAATTGACATTAAAATAAATGAGTCCACATGAAAAAAACCATAAGCTGCCGCATGAACACATGCTCGAGTGAATTTTTGTCGAAACAACACATTGTAGATGTGCTATATATCTGACCAACGGCTGTTTCGTAGGTCATTGATGAAGAAGAAGGTCAGACTGAACTCAAGATGGAATCTTCTGAAACGTGCTAATGATAAGGTCCAACAGCAACTGGGAGAAATGAAAAAAAATATACTATAAACTGACTTCCCTATTTATTCTAAGAAAAATACACGTGTTTCTGTACCTGAGCAGAGCTATTAATCTACCTGGTTATATTATATATTAATGCAAACAACTATAGAAGTACAAAATAACTTTTATATGGAAAAAAATCTGCTAAGCAAGTGCTTTCCAAGAATCATTGGTATCAATGATTTCGTTTTTAATAACTATAATAATAATAATAATAGTAATATCGTAATGGTTCTGGATCATATATCAATCATTTAGATTCATTATACGCAGTTATCTGCACAGATACGTATAATAGCCTGGTGTGAGAAAATGGTGAGGGAAAGAGAAAAGGAGCGAGGAGAGAAGAGAGAGAACGCCACACGAAAAGACGAGACTTTTTCACGTAACTTTCTAGTTATAAAACAAAATCAGTCTTGACATTAACTTTTTCTCGCATACCGGACATATGTCCACCGCATATGATGTACTTGACCATGTTTCTGTCAACAGTCAATTACAAAACGGTAATGCTAAGACTTATTTTGTTTCTGACCATTTATTATGTCACACGTTACCAATGCACCTACATATATTTAAAAAAAATACGAACGCGATTCATCAATGCATGGTGCCGAATTACATGCAATAAAGACTTAATAATTAGCAGGGGCGTAGCTAAGCCATTCCGGCAAAGCAAAACCACATACGGGTTGCGTTCTGGAAAGGTAACCGCCATTATCCATGTAATGTATCTACATTTCTTTGGAGGACAACATCCCCCTCCTCTTGCCACCCCGCTTGCTACGGCTCTGGGGGGAGGGGGCTGGTATCACTTTATTGCATCTACCAGATTTTTTTCTCCATGAAAAAGACTGTCTTCTGTACATGTATTTGTATTTGCACTTGTCACTTGACTATGCCCCGCGGTACAGCCTGCTGTTCACAGGCGTTTTGCGCAGACAGAGAAAAGCCGCGAGTACGTTGATGTGAGAATTTACGAGTTTTCCGATTCGTTTTCGTAGATACTGGGCATGCGCGAACATTGGAAGCAAAAGGAAAGTAGGAAAATTGAGATCTTTCTAACTAGAAATACCGTCCATCTCAACCCCCCCCCATCTCTATTAATTCTCATGCCTTCCACCTCCTCCACTGCTCTTCCTCTTCTCCTTCCTCCTCCTCATGCTCCTTTACCTCTCCCTCTTCTTCTTCTGTAGCTCCATCACCTCGTCCACATACTATAGACCTTCCTCCATTCTCAACAAATTAGAGTCTATACTTATTCCACCTTAAATGTTTATTATTGAAACGTTCAAAGCAAATGACATTATCAACATATTGCTAATTTCAGCGGATATTGCGCATGCGTGTGCGCATGTCTCTCTCTCTCACACGCACACACAAACACAGTGACACATTTACCTAATACCGTCTGTCTGTCCGTATATATATATAGAGAGAGAGAGAGAGAGAGAGCGAGAGAGAGAGAGAGGCTACCCGCGTGTATTTCATCCGCATGCAAACGTATTCACCTCTCGCATATTTCTTCGCGGTTTCGCCGAGGAGTCGCGTATCGAAGTAAGTCGATATTATATTTATCTATCTATCTACCTATCTATCTATCTCTCTCTCGCCGTATATATTTCACCGCGCGAGGAATCGCTATGTGCATATAAATGTGCTCCGACTCCTGATAGAGGTGAATACGTTTGCATGCGGATGTGTCGATGTCAATGAACTAACGCGGGTAGCCATCAGGAGTCGGAGCACATTTATATGCACATAGCGATTCCTCGCGCGGTAAAATATACACGAGATTTGAATACGTTTGCATGCGGATATGCTTTATTGTTGCCTTGCGCGATGACATATACGCGCAGATGTGTGACATTTCAGCGGTATATTATATAGCCGTCTGCGCGGTGTCTACACATTGCGCTATACGCTAGCCGCGTCTCACCCGTCGATAGACGCGCTCGCGGGTTGCCCGTTACACACGGTGCCTTGATCAACTACTAATTACAGAATTATGTCGCATCGTGTTTATGACATCAAGTGTGCCAGGGACCGCTCACTTTGGCCCGTCCCAGAAATAAAGCAGTTTGAAACAGTTCAAGAGGCGTAACCTCCTAACGTCTCCAAACACCGTTCCGTTTATTGCTGGACATATACGGGAAGCGATCCGTAAATACAGTTTGTGACATACTTCAGTATGAACCGAAGTGGTATGGCGATAGCGCATTTATATTTCTATGTTTCTATAATTATGTAAAGGCTGAGCGCACGGCAACGCAAATTAATCGATATACTACATGCGGATCGTGGTCGATCATGATTGGATCGGCTACTATCATCATGATGGCGAGATCTCGATACACTGGAAAGGGGAGGGGGGTCACGTTATTATAAACCATTCAGTCGCTCTAACACAGGCGGCCATACACCCACATGCACGCACGCACGCACGCACGCACCTATATATATATATATATATATATATATATATANATAATTTACCTCCGATTTTTTAGTTAAAGGGATAGAAAGAGCAGGCATACATATATAAATGATGAGGTAGGCATGTTTTACCTCTGGGTTATCTGCTGCGTATTCATATTAAATATAAAAAATATATTCCATCAGTAGACCTCACTTAAAATGTGGGAAAAAGCCCTTGCATGTAAGGTCTCTGTTCCATATACCAGCGAGTATACAATCTGGCTACGTTAGGATGTTAGCGCAAGGGCAATATCTCACCAGCGGAGTTATATTTTCTAATGAATATGCATTTAATATGGTCAGGGGTATCTCAGCTTTGGTTTTTGCAATATTCTTATTAGTAGATCTGTGTTCATAATCAGGAGAGCGCCCTAGCCAGTAGGGTGCAAAACTACTACTTCATCCCCGCCAGCCCTTCCCCTTGTGTCTCTTGTCGCACGCTCAGCCTTCTTCTTTTTCCACTGCTCCTCGGCTGTCTTCCCTGCCACCTTCTCTCAGTCTCCCAACCCTCTCTCTCGCAGCAAGCTATATTACGTACTTTTATTTAGGTCGTACTGCACGTCTGAAAAGGTGCTCGCGCATGCGCCATAACTCCTAAGAAGAAGAATATTTTTGCCAAAATTATGAATTTAAAATGAAGAGGGGTTATCCCAGCATAGATTTTTATGATAATGTTCCATTAGTTGACCTCACTTATGAAATAGGAAGCACACCTTGCATGTAAGGTCCCGGCTGCATATACCAGTCAGTACATAATCTGGCTACGTTACTGTTTGGGCGCATGCGCAATATCTCACCAGAGGAGCTATATTTTGTGCTGAAAATGCAATTAATATGGTCAGGGGGTATTTCAGCATAGGTTTCCGTAATAAATTCTTATCAGTAGACTTGTGTTTATAATTAGGAGAGCGCCCTAGCCAGTACGGTGTAAAACTACTACTTCATCCCCGCCCACCCTTCCCCTTGTCTCCCTTGTCGCACGCTTAGCCTCCTTCTTCTTTCACCGCCCCTCGGCTGTCTTCCCTGCCACCTTCCCTCAGTTTCCCACCACTCTCTCCCACAGCAAGCTATATTACGTACCTTTATTTAGGCCGTACTGCACGTCTGAAACGGTGCAGGCGCATGCGCAATATCTCCCAAGAAGAAGAATATTTTGCCAAAATTATGAGGGTTATCCCAGCATAGATTTCATGAATGAATATTCCACAGTAATACCTCGCTATGAATATGAAGCAGAAACCTTAATTGCATGTTAAGGTGCTCCGCTGGTCATAAACCAGTCAGTACACAATCTGGCTACGTTACTGTTTTAGCGCATGCGCAATATCTCACCAGAGGAGTTATATTTTGTGCTGAAAATGCATTTAATATGGTCAGGGGTATCTCAGCATAGGTTTCTGCAATAAATTCTTACCAGTAGACATGTCTTCATAATTAGGAGAGCGCCCGAGTCACCCGGCGACCGACGGCACCACGTGCGGCAATGATCGCCACGGCCTCGGCACCCGACCTCTCTGTATGCACCGTCGATGACGTCACGTCTACCTTTAGTGCTGCTTGCGTGGTGTTGACTACCTGCAATTTTCCAACGTCGCCATTCCGCATGATTCATGTACGATCCCCAGAGCCGTAGCAAGCGGGGTGGCAAGAGAAGGGGGGAAGTTGTCCCCCAAAGAAATGTAGATACATTACATGGATAATGGCGGTTACCTTTCCAGAACACAACCCGTATGTGGTTTTGCTTTGCCAGAATGGCTTAGCTACGCCCCTGTCCGCACTTGTCACTTGACTATGCCCCGCGGTACAGCCTGCTGTTCACAGGCACTTTGAACGTTTCAATAATAAACATTTAAGGTGAAATAAATATAGACTCTAATTGGTTGAGAATAAAGGAGCATGAGGAGGAGGAAGAAGAAGAGGGAGAGGTAAAGGAGCATGAGGAGGAGGAAGAAGAAGAGGGAGAGGTAAAGAAGCATGAGGAGGAGGAAGGAGAAGAGGAAGAGCAGTGGAGGAGGTGGAAGGCATGATAATTAATAGAGATGGGGGAGGTGGTTGAGATGGACGGTATTTCTAGTTAGAAAGATCTCAATTTTCCTACTTTCCTTCTGCTTCCTATGTTCGCGCATGCCCAGTATCTACGAAAAGGAATTGGAAAACTCGTAAATTCTCACATCAACGTACTCGCGCCTTTTCTCTGTCTGCGCAAAACGAATGACATTATCAACATATTGCTAATTTCAGCGGATATTGCGCATGCGTGTGCGCAGGTCTCTCTCTCTCTCTCTCTCTCTCTCTCTCTCTCTCTCTCTCTCTCTCACACACACGCACACACAAACACAGTGACACATTGACCTAATACCGTCTGTCTGTCCGTATATATATATATATATATATATATATAGAGAGAGAGAGATAGATATATAGATAGGTAGGTAGATAGACAGATATAATATCGACTTACTTCGATACGCGACTCCTCGGCGAAACCGCGAAGAAATATGCGAGAGGTGAATACGTTTGCATGCGGATGAAATACACGCGGGTAGCCATCAGGAGTCGGAGCACATTTATATGCACATAGCGATTCCTCGCGCGGTGAAATATATACGAGAGGTGAATACGTTTGCATGCGGATATGCTTTATTGTTGCCTCGCGCGATGACATATACGCGCAGATGTGTCACATTTCACCGGTATATTATATAGCTG